TTATATACAGGATGTAAGCAGTTACTGATACATGCTGTTACTGGATTAGGCAGAGCCTGAAATGTATTACTGCAAAATTGCCTGAATGCAGTTCCCTTCTTCCGTCAAATAATGGAGCTGGAGGAGACCTTGAGCTCCTGAGTCTCAAACAGAACATTGAACACAGGGAGATGTAGTCTGGGTCATAAGCAGTGCCATTGCAATTGCTAATAAAGAAAATAAAATCCCAAATATGCCAGGAGGTAAGAAGGGGTAAAAAGGGAAAAGCCAGGGAAAGTGCGGTGTTGTTGGGAGATTGCCCCGCCAGCCCGTGTAACAGTGAGGAGCTGTCGCTGGGAGAGGAAGAAGGAGAACTGAAGGGACCAATTTGTAACTTTAAAGCCGATCTATTGGCAGGCATGCACTATTTAGAGGGCAGCTCACTGAAGCTGGAAATAGCCGTGCTGAGACCTGAGACACTGGGTCCCACTCTGAGGCTTGTCCATTTACCACCTATCATCACTAAAGGAAGCCACCTGAAGATCGTCACCTCGCCAAAGGGGGGGGGGGGGCTCCAATGGTAAGGCCTTTTGCAACAGGCCTGAGGAAACTGATGAGTGGGTCATTGACTCAGTACTGTGCTATTTGCTGACATTGCACAGATTCTTTTTGAGGCATGATCACCCTTTGCCAATTTTGCTTCTCTTCACTGTTAAGCACTGCTAGTCCCATCTGGCCAGAACCTATATTCCAGAATCCTAACACCTTACCTGCCCCCTCCCCCAATTTCAGTGTTCTAAGGAGATGATTTTTTCTTAGAATATCTCACTGGGTGCAAGACTATCCAATGCAAATAAGAGTGTCAACATCTTCAAGGGCCCCAACATAGCCAGCATAAGACAAACTTTGGGGTACTGTGCATAGTTTACGTGCTGTTAAAGGCAGTTACCATTACATTGCAATCTTCTGTTACAAAATGGCTTAGTATTAGCTTATCAGAGGAGCCCATTGGCCCATTTGAGAGCTACAGTTTATGCTGGTTGGATTTAAGTTTACTGAAGTACCCTAAGTATCTCAAGAAATCCCCAGTGTATTGTGTATGCTGTTACATGTCTCACTGCTATACCCTGACGTATCTGATAACTACTTGACAATATACTCTGTAATTTGCTAAAAAGCCTCAAGTCTAATTTCAGAATGACCGTAAGGTGTTGAGAAATTACTAATCTACATCTGCTAAAGTGTATAACCTGAGCTCAGTGGTGCTGAGGCACTTATCAGAGCCAGGGTAAGAACTGGGGACCTGTCATAATTAGAGGCTCCTGCAGGGGTGGCACACATGTAAAATTAAAACAATGGAGATACAGTAGAAACATTAGAACTGTGAATTTAAAAGTAGAAAAAAAAGTTATCAAAGCAAAGTTTAAAGTAGACTTGAACTCAAGAAGTGCAAATTTGCTACAGTATGTTATAGGGAACATATAGATATGTTGTGCCTAAGAAATATGTACCTTGAAATATGTACAGTTATATCTTCTATTTCTCTCACAAAATAGCAGTGCACTTCCTGATATGTGTGGGTGTCTAAGTCTCATGAGATTGCTCTCCAGCACAGTACAGGAGAACATCCCTGTGAGATTTTGGAGCCTTGACTTTCCCATAGTGACAGAATCCTATTGTGAAGCTGGGTGACCAGAAACAGTGTTCTAAAGTGAGTATCTTTTTTTTCTCCAAATTAATTGTTTAGGTTTGACTTATTATACAACATGGAAGGGCTGTGGAAACTAATATGCAGTGATTAGCATAGAACAATTGCTTCCGTTAGCAAGTAATTGTTTTGTTACAGATTCTGTTGTGTGGCAAAAAATTTTACACACATTCACAGAAAGGTCACATTATTGAGGACTAAGGAGACTATCTTTTGTGGGTATGGACTATTTCCTGATTATCTGGCTACATTTAAAGTTTATGGAACTCTTCTATCAAAAATAGTAATACAAAATTAACATTTCACCATGTTATTTTTTGTTTTATATTATACAAGACTAGTTGTCATGAGCTGGGGTCAGGCTCAGAGGCCAGTAGCTATAGTATTGGAAAGGTTCACACAGAAACTAGCAGGAAAAAGGCATAAGCAGGTCCTCCTAGCGGGTGACACGGGCTCACCTGAGGCATGGGGTTTAAGCACCAGCTGGTCTTCACCACCAGAGCTCCTGATGGTGGAGATGGATTTTGTGATCCTCAAGATTGCCCCAGCAGGAGGTGAGTAAATAGGGATCAAGCAGAAGCATATTCCGTAAACGAGCCAAAGGTTCGTAACAAGTGGCTTCAGATTTGGATGAAGCGAAAGCATAGTCGAGGAACAAGCCAATGGTTGGTAACAAGTTGTGAATTGTTAATGAAGATACAGACAGCACAGGAGTGTTAGGAGCAACTTATTGGCTGGACAATAATCTGGCGAACAGGAGAGTATAAAGGCATGGCTTAACTAGGAAGTTCATGGGAGGAGCAAGGCGTTCAAGGCTCAAAAGAAGCAAGATAGAAAGTAAGGTTGTCCAAGGGATCAGACAGGGAGCTGTCCAGCATAGTAAGTGGCACAGTGAAAATAGCTACTGTATAATGCAACAGAGGACCTTTAGATGTGGTCCTGACACTAGTAGTACTGCATAATTACCAGAATTGATAAGGTATATTAGGGCTTAATTACATAGTTTATTTAATTACATAGTAGTAAACAATGTAACCACTTGCTGGCTTTCATCTTGCAACATATTGATTTCAATTGGTTGCAAATTAATTGACCGATTAGCATCGGTTAGCACGAGATTAAAGTGTATCTAAAGCTAAGGACAACAATGTAATATAGTGTAGCTTTCCAGACCTTGTGGCTGGTGTGGCTCAATTCATTGCCTTGTTTCAGCCTTTTTCCTTTATTTTCACCTAATGATCCTGCTGGTAACATAATTCCTGTCCTAGAGAAACAGCTCCCACTCACTGAGGTGTACATGTGTAGCAGAATCATTGGTGCCCTAGGAAAGGAGGAGAGTTAGAACTACGGAACACTCCCACATCCCTATTACACAGTGGAGGTATTTTGTAGTTCTAATCTAATTCTTGATCACGTTGATTGAGATAACACTGCAGCGCGCACAGGTCACAGGACAGCAATGCAGACCTGACAGATATTTTTTTCCACTTATTAAACAGGTATAACAAAATGCTTTATGTAGTATATTTAACAGACCAAAATAAAGTAAATAGGAAAAGCTCATTGTTAATCTTACATATACTTTAAGTGGCTTAGTTGCGTAGGATTAAAATAATTAGGGATGAGCAAATCTGCCTGGGTTTTGGTTTACAAACAGTTTTGTAAACCTTGTTTGCAGTTTGAGAACTTTCCAATGAACCCTGTTGAAGCCACAGAGGATGTGGGTTAGTGGTGACTAAACCTGCTATTCAGTTTTAGCCATAGGTTTCTCCTTATTTCTGGTGGCAAACCTTGAGAACTTTGTGAATCCCAAAGATTTGATGGAGACCCATGGTGAACCTAAACCTCATTCCTAAAAATAACTCATTTAGTGGTCTGGGGATACCCAACTGAAACCCAATTATTTCATCCTCAAGCAAAAATCTATCACCAATCATTCAGTGGAAAATTCGGGGAATCAGTGGGACTGTGTTGTGGTTTTGCAGCTGTTTTCCCAACCTCTTCTGAAAAATCAATAAATAATGACATTATATAGGTCCACCAATTGTAATTGTATAGAATCTACAACACTACTGAATGTATCAAAATTCAAACAAATATGCTCATGCATCAAGTTCAACATCAGATTCTTCATAAACTAATGCACGGTTTGGTGTTGACTTCTTTGAATGCTTCACATTTAGAATGTCACCCATCTTGTCAAGCTCATCCAAGACCTGCAAAGCACACAAAAAATTATTTCAAGTGTTGTAAACCTCTGAAATGAAAAATTAACAAAGTACCGGTATATCTTTCCAGAGTGTGTACTTGCCCCAATCCAAAGTACTGAATGTGATTTCTAGCATTTATCGCCTCCATTTGCTATCTGCATGAGTTACTTCTGACCATGTATGCCAACACCAACCAATCCAAGGAGATGGCTTTCCACCCTGCAGCACACAGTAGGTTATTGACAGCCTCAGCCGTGCATTTTTTCCTATAAGACTGTGTAGGGGGAACGTGTCTATTTCCTCTACTCAGGTCTCATATTACACTCAGTTATCCTCTTTGTACTGTGCAACGTGTGGCATTAGATCCCCCCCCCCAAGCTCAGAAATGCTGTGTAACTTGTGCACTTTGAAGAGAAGAGATGGCTACAGATAAACAGGTACACCTTATGTAGAAGGATTTGTTTCATCTCTGTGTATCACCTGAGGCTAGTTACTTCAGTAGGTATATGCAAGGGTTTACAACCACTTTAAAATAATAAAAATAATAACAGAAAATGAACGAACAGGGCTCATGTACTAGTTTTAATATCCTAGCCTGTGCAATAAAAAAGAGAACTGTAACCTATTTATGTGCTTCAATTGAAGGTCAGACTGCTGTACTCTGACCTTTTCCTACCACCACCATCAGGCTCCATCCTGCTGGCATTTGAGGATATACAGATGGGTCATATTTGATTCCTTATCAGCTGCCACCTGGACTAGGTGCAGGGATCTCTTATCAGCAAAATGTAGTTCCAAATAGGCAGTAAACATAATTTACAGCTTGTACCGGTATAGTCCTTGCTGTATATTCCGTGAAATGCTGCTGTAGTATTTAGTATACAGCACCGTGTAATATTTCAATGCCATATACTGTAAAATCAGAGTAATCACAATAAAGCTCACAAATGTTTTTGGGTGTACTGTTTCTGCATTTCTACTCTTCTAATCACAGTCATCAATGCAGGTAAGGCTTTTCTTTTTCATCAAGAACAAAGTAAACAAATAAATAAATAAATCTGCTAGGAAATACATTTACTGTATAAATCTGAGCAGAGTTTGAGTCAAAAACATACCCTGTCTAACATTTCCTTTGTATGTGTTGCAGAAATGCAAAATCTGACTCTGGCTTCTGCTATGGGAGTTGCTGGGAAACCGACTATGACAACACCAATTTTCTTCTTCAGCATATGTCGCGCAAAGGCCCTGTGAATGAAACAAAGGAAACAAATATTCAAAATCTCCCGAGTCTATTTATTCAGTTCAGGCAAACATCAACAAACATGGTAAAACAGGATTCTGCCATTTCATTTAATTAAAGGGTGTGATAACATATTGGTGCCTGGCAATGATCAGCACTATGGTGCAGATTCTATAACAGTTGGGAACATTTAAAGGCTAAGTTCATCTTATCATAACATGAAAACATGACCTGTGCAGTGACTAAGTGGTTAGCACTTCCCCCTAACAGCACTAGGGTCATCGGTTCGAATCCTAACCACAGCACTACCTGCCTGGAGCTTGTATGCCTGAGTAGGTTTCCTCCCACACTCCAAAGACATGCTGGTAGGTAATTGTCTCCTGTCTAAATTGACCCTAGTATGTGTATATATGAATGTGAGTTGGGGACCTTAGATTGTAAGCTCCTTGAGGTCAAGGACTGATGTGGATGTACAGTACATATGTGAAGCACTGCATAAATTGACAGCACTATACAAGTAGCTGTGATAAATAAACTGGCTCACTGCACCCTCCCCAATCCCCTGGTCCCTACTGAGCTTATCTATTATGACCTCATTCTCCGGACCCCCAACTGAAGTAACAGTCTGCACACTTGAAAGTTTCGCTATACAGTCCTGTAGGCTATGTACCATCACAGTGCATCTAACAAGAAGGTATCATTTGTCAACATGGTCATGCGACCATGCTAATCAATGAGAATTGCTTCTTTATTCTGGGATGCTCATGGAGATTCAGAAGAGATTTCCATTGGGTGCAATCTCTTCTTTGTCCAACACTGCCATCTGTCCCATTGCTTCTTTCAGCTCCTCTGGGATTCCTCATTGCCCATTGGATGCCCAATGACTGTATACTTCTTGCGCATACACAGAGGAGTTACGAGGTCTATTCTCGGAAGGATGGGAGGGAGTCCTCAGCATGGCACATACACAGTGCAGTGTACATTGGAAGTCAAAAATTTCTAGCAGCATGGGGAGGGGGGATGTCTTTTGTTAATAGAAAGTTTGTGTGTCTTTGTAAAAAAACTCTGACTGCTAGCTCCTGGTTAAAAAAACAATTCAAGAAGCGAGGGTCTACATGCCAAGTCTAGTAACTTATAGCATCCAATTAGAATCCACTTTTCTGAAGAACAGCAAGTACAAGATGGATTCTGATTGATTGGTAATTGCACATTGCACTTACAGCTTTGCTTCTTGCACTGGTAAATTAAATAAGCCCATAACAGTTTTTTAAAAAAATTGATGGTTGTGTTTCTGTAATTGCATTTGCATTTTGATATCAGAATATTTTAACATATTGCTTACAAGAATTATCCTAGAACTAGGAGTTTTACAATACATATTTTGTAAAGGATTATATTATATTGAGTGATACTGAAAAACATGAAAACTGCATTACAGCGCTTACCCTACTTTGGTCGGCATGTACATGAGTACGGGGACAACAGGAGAATCTTCATTGCCGTAGGTAATTAGATTTAATTCACTCAGCCTCTGTCTGAAGTATGTGGTGTTGTGTGCCAACTGATAGACTCTCTTCTGTCCTGCAATATTGCATTCATTTTCATAAAGATATACAGTCTGTTCAATAATACACTGAGAAAACTTCATTATTGAATGAGAGAATTAAGAAAACAGATTCCTCAGCTTCTGATAACAGCATTTAAAAAATTTGCATTAAAATGGAACTGCACCGCATCTGAGCACCACAAACGAAAAATGCTATTTAATTCCTTTTTTAATATTCAAAGCAAACTCACCCATCCACCCAAGTTCCCATGCTTTATTTTGTTGAGAAATAATTTTTGAACTACACCCCCCCCCCTCCCTGCATTTCTGGCAGTGGCCATCTTGAGTAAGGGCAGGTGATTCATGTATCATTTACTTCCTGGAATCAATCTGCTGCTAGCTCAGATTGCTGTCTACCTCATTTCTTTTCAAGTATAAGGCTGAGGTATCACTGAAGAAAAGTATATAAAACATTTAGTTATGAGACATGCCTAGTAATGGCTGATAAAAAAAAAAGCTAAAATTCTGCTCAGATTTATAGAACAACATATAGCAATATAGCACTTTCACAACCATGGCAGTTTTGTTCTTTGTAAGTAAACACAGCTACAGATACAATATATTGCCAAAAGTATTGGGACTCCTGGCTTTACACGCACATGAACTTTAATGGCATCCCAGTCTTAGTCTGTAGGGTTCAATATTGAGTTGGCCCACCCTATTCAGCTATAACAGCTTCAACACTTCTGGGAAGTCTGTCCACAAGGTTTAGAAGTGTGTCTATGGGAATATTTGACCATTTTTCCAGAAGCGCATTTGTGAGGTCAGGCACTGATGTCGGATGAGAAGGCCTGGTTCACAGTCTCCGCTCTAATTCATCCCAAAGGTGTTCTATTGGGCTGAGGTCAGGCCCAGGGGCGGATTGACCATTCGGGTACTCGGACACTGCCCGAGGGCCCGGGTCAGTAGGGGGCCCCATGAGATGTCCCTGGTACCTTTCATAGGCTTTTTTGGGTGTGGTTTGAGTGTGGGCAAGGACACAGGGGCCCCATGATCCCCTATTGACTGGGGGCCCCATAAGTTGTCAGTCCGGTCAAGTTCCTCCACCCCATCCAAGTTCCTCACTCATCCATGTTTTTATGGACCTTGCGTTGTGCACTAGTGCGCAGTTATGTTGGAACAGGAAGGGGCCATCCTCAACTGTTCCCACAAAGTTGGGAGCATGAAATTGTCGAAAATGTATTGGTAAGCTGACACCTTAGGAGTTCCCTTCACTGGAACTAAGGGGCCAAACCCAACCCCTGAAAAACAACCCCACACCATAATCCCCCTCCACCAAACTTTACAATTGGCACAATACAATCAAGCAACCACCAAACCCAGACATGTCCATTGGATTGCCAAACAGAGAAGTGTGATTCGTCACTCCAGAGAACACATCTCCACTGCTCTAGAGTCCAGTAGCGGCGTGCTTTACACCACTGCATCCGACGCTTTTGCATTGCACTTGGTGATGTAAGGCTTGGATGCAGCAGCTCGGCCATGGAAGCCCATTCCATGAAACTCTCTAAGTACTGTTTTTGTGCTAATCTGAAGGTCACAGGAAGTTTGGAGGTCTTTAGCTATTGATTCTGCAGACAGTTGGTGACTTCTGTGCACTGTGCACTTCAGCATGTGCTGACCCACTCTGTCATTTTACGTGGCTTACCACTTCATAGCTGAATTGCTGTTGTTCCCAGTTGCTTCCACTTTGTTATATTACCACTAACAGTTGACCATGGAATATTTAGTAACATGGAAATTTCGTGGATGGACTTATTACACAGGTGGCAACCTATCATACCACACTTGAATTCACTGTTTCTGAGAGTGACCCATTCTTTCACAAATATTTGTAGAAGCAGTCTGCATGGCTAGGTGCTTGATTTTACACATGGAGGTCATCGAAACACCTGAATCCAATTATTTCAAGGGGTGTCCCAATACTTTTGGCAATATAGTATACAGTATATACAAATGGTACAAAAGTTCAAGGACACTCCAGTCAAATCAAATGCAACTTTTGTGCCCAATTTAATTTTTTTCATGTTTTTAATATGGTTTTCATATAAAAATATGGCAGAAATAAATCTGTAATCTCACCAGTTAGAGTCCCATCACGTCCCATAATGCATTTCATTACCCTCAGGATTTGTTCTGTTACTGGAGGAGACATAGATGTTGCATACAATGCACTGTGAGAATGGGTTCTTAGATAAGTCACCAGTTCCTGGTAGAGAAAACAGGGGGAATGGTTAGTTTATTAACAGAATTGTGCTTTATTTTTACAATTCATGCTGACACTAAGAGTGTGGGCAGGCCTCCTTCATCATTCCTCATGCTTGGTCAATATTGTTGGTAATTACTCCCTAAAGGAACCTGTGGTCTATGGATATGCAGGCCTTTGCATATAATTAACAATAAATAAATTAGTTTTACAATAACCTCTCACTGATTTTTGTGGCTGCAGGCCCTATGGAGCATTCATCTTCAAAGTTCACAGCAAATACACTGAGGTCATTCAAGTCATTCTCTCAGCATCTCTGTTCTCCCTGTGCCCCCCTTAGCAATGGCTAAGTAACCTTCCAGCTAGTAATCACTAATCTAAACATGGAGCAGGGTTAGCTGAGCTGCTAATAAGAGGAATTGAACCACTTCAGTTCCTCTAATTGATACTTTAAGGATGAATTGATCCACAGCAGGGCTGCTGTTAGAAACCATGGGGCCCTATACAGCCAACCTGAAAGGGTCCCCCTAAATAAACACAGTTTACAGAGCTTCAGTTGTGAATGAACACAGTGAGTGATCTGTACCAATCACTCATTGTGTTCATTCTGGAAAGGAAGTAGCTGGTAAATGTGATATTTTTACCGGACCCTTCCCCCACTCTCCATCCTGAAGGATCATATTGTGTACTTGCAGCTGCCAGTGGGGAAGGAGGAGAGGGGGTAAGGGGGGAAAGCTGGCACGGGTGGTACCCCCTTATCCACAGCCCTGTTCCACAGTGCCTACAGCTAAAGAAGTCAGTGAGGGCTTGTTTTAATGCTCATTTATTGGTTTTTTAGGAAAATGAGATTATCGGAAAATCAGTAAAATATGAAGCTGTAAGTATATAATTCTTCTCTTACTTTTCTTTTACTCACTATGACTAAGCTCTACTTACAGTGTTCTCTTGCATGCAGCACAGAGTCTATGTTGGTCTTTGAGTGCCTAGGCTAACATAGGATAACACCTCCTTGATTAGGATATTGCCTGATCAGGATGTTACACATTGGCAAGAAATCATGTGCTGGTTTTGACTGACTTCTATAGCCTTTAAAAAGTTTTAATGGTGGAATTCAGAAAGTTGGTTTTCAGGGCTGACGTTACATAATAATAAAGATAAAAAAAATTGATTTCTGTTGAAAATGTGTTTTGTACTCACTGTAAAATCCCTTTCTCTGAGTTCACTGACAGACACATTTCTCTTCATTCTTGACCATAGGGTTTATAGCACCACCTACAGGGGTAGGACACTTGGCAGAAAAAGAACACAGCATCACCTCTGGGCAGTCTTAGCTGGTATAAACCCCCTCTCTGCCATAGGCAAGCCAGTTATTTCTGTTTTGTGTTTCATGAGTGAGAGACCTGTGGTTCCATAGCTTTTTTTCTTTTTTCCTGTGAAAATCATCAATCATTAGCTGGGCTGGGCAACGGGCTGGATAATCTAGATCCATTGGTCACCCCATTCTGGCCAAGGAGAGCACACAGACCTTTAGCTATGTGCTGGTTAAGCTGTGAAAGCCCCATCCTGTAACGGGGTGGCCAGCAAATTAAACATGTTGCAGGGACACATATGACCACAGTTCTGGAGTTCATGTTATAGTATTACCCTGGCTAACAGCCACCCACTTTGGTGAAGAGGAGGATCTGTCTCAGGTGCCTTACTCGCACGCTCCACTGGATCAGTAAGTAGAAATGACCCTCCCCTTCCATCCCCAGATGTAGTGTGGGACATGGGTATTCCCTGGAGTGGTTGGTCCTACCAGGTCCTCTCCCTCTCCAGAATTTGTCTGCATGCTCCCCCATCCCCCCTGGGACTCATGGCTTGACTGACTGTGACGTATCCATCTGTCCTGCCTGGGTCCGATGATGGACATGTGGATCCCTGGTTGTCCTGTGGAGATCCACTGGTGCTGGGATGGCACTACTTTTCATATACTCTTCCCCTCCATTTTTTCCCCAGTGAGTAGATGTCTGATGGTGGTAGGAGGGGCTTGAGGGATCGATCTGGTACTCCTAGTGTTTTTTTTTTTTTTGCGACTTCCAGCCACTAGCTGGGGATGTTCTGGGCTAGATTTCCTGGGCCAAGCTTTGTGGCCTACTTGACAGGCTGTGTAACCTGCCATCTTGACTTTGGGTATTTGTCGTCACTTATGCCTGGGAGGTTGGTGCCACCTCCTGCAGGGTGACTGTGCTCCTGGGTTTTCCTGGGGTGTTTTGAGCAAGGGTTGTTAACCCAGTGGCTGTGGGGGCCCCACCCCCTGCCTTTTTGGTGCTGGGCTCTGGCCCTGCCTGGGTAAGTATTACCGACTGGTACCTGCTGCCAGTAGAGGGCTGGACCTTTGTCTTTCATGCCTTCCCCTGCAGATGTGTGCACTGTACGGTTAGTCTAAAGCCGTGGAGGTGTCTGTCATCTCACTAGCCGCCACGTTCCGTTGGACTTGCTCTCCATGCTGGAGGTTCTTCTACCGAAGTTGACTTCTCTTCTTATCATAAATCTTCCATCTCTAGGCTGGACACGGCATCCTGGATTCTGAGGTGGTTCCCCACCTTCAGGGATCCTGCGGACATGAAGGCAGTATCAGTCACCCACTCTATGTTTACAATCACTGCTTTTGGGCCCCTCAACTGGTTTTGGCCACAGCCCTTGTGTCACAGACAATCACGGAGTACTCTAAGTGCTTATGTCTAGGTCTGGGCACAGCCCAATTTCCCCCCCTCCCCTGGTCTCCATGGCCCTGCAGTTTGTAATATGTACTTGGATTTGGCCTGCTACCTTCTCGCTCTCTGTCTCGGCTAAGGCACTTCGACCAGATGTCCGGCTTAAGAGTTGGTCTACAGATCAGGCATCTGAGAATGCATTGGTCACCTTTTCCCCCTTAGGGAAAGCAGCTCTTTGGTTCCACTGTGGGCGACATCATCTAGAGTCTTCCAGAAGGGAAAAGTACCTTCTCCCATAGTCCAGGAAGGAATGGAGCTGCACCACTGGCAGGGTTCCTCCTTCAGTGTACTCAAGCGGTTGCTTGTCCACCAGACTCCTTGGACTTCTAGGATCTTCATGGCTTCGACGATGGCATGAGACATTCCTGGCTTCTCATGTTAGCTTAGCCTGTGGACTGGCCCTCCTTGGCTATAGGCTTGACCCCACCTGTCTGGGGTGGGGTATCACCAACATTGGCTTAGAGATCTGTAGATCCTCTTCTCTAAGTCCAAGGGGTTTGCAGACTGAATTCATGAGGCTATAAAAAAGCATTTCTTGGTGGGGTGGTGGTGGATCTGCTTCTCTAGGGTGTGATAGCCCTGGTTCTGGCCCCAGATAGGGGCTTTTGTGTCAACCTGTTTTTGGTTTTCAATGGAGGAAGGAGTTTGTTGGCCTTTGGACTTCAAGGCCCTGAATTTCTTGTGACAGTACAGGAGGTACATGCTGGATTCTGCCCATTCTGTGGTGCGGTTGCATCCTTAGGGTGGTTTCCTGGTCTCCATCGACTTCAAGGACCAGCACTCCTGTGCCTTATGGTCGGTGTCATGCATTCTCACTTTGTGGCGCTCCCTTTTTTGGTCTGGCCTCAGCTGGGTGTTGAGCCTCTTCAGTCAGCTCAGATCCTGACCAGGCAGCTGGAATGTCTGGGGCTGATTCTTTACGTTGCGCAGGCCAAGGTGTTTCTCCCGATTAATAGGATTCAGAGTCTCTAGATTGTGATTCAGTTGCTGCTGCTCTGCAGGCGGTTTCTTTTTTCTGTGTTCTTGCATGCAGGTTCTGGATCTCAGGGTGTCCACTTTCTAGATGGTCCTGTATGTGTAATTTCCTAAAGGGTTCCTGCAGGAGGAAATCCTTTTCAGTTGGAGAAGTCTCCTGTGTCCTTGGACAGACAGATCCACAAGAGATGTTTGGCCAGGGTGGCTTAAGTCTCCTGACTCTTTGGGTACTTTCCCTATCTATGGGCTGTGGTTACAACAGACACCAGCCTTTCCAGTTTAGGGGGAGTTCTAGGTCAATGCACAGCCTGGGCCATTGGATGCCGAAGACGTCTCAGTTGCCAATCAACTTCTTGGTGCTATGGGCGTTCAGATTAGTCCATCTCATGGATTAGTCCATGGGCGTTCAGAGAAGTCCTTCTTCAGGGTCACACTGTCAGGATCCAGTCTGACAAAACTATGGCAGTGGCTTTTTTCAATCATCTGGATGGGACAAGGGGCTGAAGGCCGCACACATTCCTGGTGGGCAGAATGTCCCGTGCCGGCTCTCTCCACTGTTCCAGTTCTGGACATGGTAAGTTGGCAGGCGGACATCTTCAGTCGCTTCCCAAATATAGAAAAGAAAATGGTGGCCATACATAAGTAGTGCTTGCATTTTTCCCTGTGTCTCAAAAGCTGCTGGTAAAACTACGTGTCCCATGGGCACTGTGAGCAGATGAGAATGTTTGCGAATGTATTATACAGTGGAGGAGGGCTATCAGCAGTGACAACGTAAATAGCCTTGCCTACTCCCTATGTCCTCACATATTGCTGTAACCCAAGCAGCATCACGGGGAGACAACGCTGCAGTGATTTCACAGCAGAAACCACAGCATTGTCACCCTGTTAGATAGTATAAAATCACAAATCTACTGGCATTAACCACATGTAAAAAAAACGTGTTATGGGGGGATAGATAGCAATATGTTACAGGAGGCCCAAGAAAACAAAAACTGCTGTGTCAATGCCACTGACAGAACACTGCATATATTCCCTTAATGCATTTGTTCATAGCTGTACTTTAACATAGATCAGGGCTTAAGAGTTACTCGCCACCAGTTGCCCCACCCAACCCCTACCCTACTACACCCCTAATTCCTCCCCTAAACATGCCCTCGTAAATTATTTCATGAAATTACACTGTTAAATGTTACTTACATTACATAAGGGTCCCCAGAGCCCCCCCACATTACATCAGGGCCTCCAATGTCCCACTAAACACTCCATCATACTTAGACCATGCACCGAATACAAGCATAACCCCCCATAATCTTTCACTTACAAAACCATAACACTACCAAGCATATCCTACCTACTATCCAACCCAGCAATACCTCAAATGCCCCATACTCTACCACCCATAATAACCACATCATCCTAAACCTGACCAAACCACCCATACATGTAGGTTTACATACAGACACATGTACATACACACACAAACAAACAGAGACACCTGTACACACACACAGACATGTACACACACAGACATATTTACACAAACACACATACAGACACATGTACAGAAAAACATACATGTACATACACACACACATGTACATACACAGAAATACACACACACAGACACATGTACATACACACAGACACATGTACACACAGACACATGTACGTACGTACGTACATACATACGTACATGCACACACACATGTACAGACACAGAGACACATGTACACACACACATACATGTACAGACACAGAGACACATGTACACACACACATACATGTACATACACGCAGACACATGTACAGATACACACATGTACATACACACAGACACATGTGCATGCATACACAAACACACACAGATACATGTACATACACACACATACAAATACACACATACAAATACACACACAGCCCTATAAAACGTTGCAGTGTCTCGTTACCTTCACTCACAGAGCCGGGTACTGCACTCTAGGGGGAGGCAGAGAGCACTGCACACGCTCCTTCCTTTGCTTTCACTTTGGTCAACTATTGAGCGGTCTGACGGCTCCCAGTGCGAGTGACAGATCCAGCCCTGAGTTCCGAGCCTGCTCAGCGAGACGTCTCTGGGGACACACTCGTCCCCACCATAATTTCCACTCGCTAATTCGAGCAGGCAAGTGGAAATTTCAAGGCCTGACATAGATACTTAATTAGTTCATTGTTAAGAGGCTAACATTTCTGCTGCAAGGTCAAAACATCTTAGTAAAGATTGTGGATGGATTCACTCACCCTTTTGCCAGCAATATATCCTCCACTGGCACTAAAGCTTTTCGTGAAGGTCCCCATCATCACATCAATATCTGCAGGGTCCATCCCAAAATACTCTACCACCCCTCGTCCTGTTGCCCCCACTGCCCCGATACTGTGTGCTTCATCCAAATATAAGTAAGCTTTGTATTTCTTCTTCAGTGCCACAATCTCTGGAAGGCGGACAATAGATCCCTCCATACTAGAGTAAGAGAGAACGTGTAAAATTTATCAAAACATGATCTGGTTCTCAGCCAGTATTTGCAAAAATGTTTATCTAATAAACATACCATTTATTCAACTAATGCACCTCTCTTTAGTGACAAATTGAATGTATTTTTAGATGTAAATTAATTGCAAGGGAGTTCCCGTATATGGGCAAAGTTTTAAACGGTTAGTTCCACCCAAATAACTGCCTATGCAGATAAGGGGCATCTATAGATAAGAACAAACTGTGCAGCTTGACTGAAGATGTATAATGCCCTTGCTATAGATGTAGGCCATTTATCACCCTGTTCTCTCCTGCTGCTAGGACATTGCTAAGGAACTCCTAGCCCTTACTGCTTAACCCCACCATCACAGGAGTAAATTCTTTCAATTCAAAATGGTTGTGGATGATGGTTGATATACATACCCACTGGTCTGCCTTTTTTAAACTTTTTTCATTGCTGTTTTGTATGCACCCTACAGGGGTAAGTTATTTAGAATTTAGTAATTGGGAGATGCTGTGGTATTGGCTAACTCACAGATTGTATTGAGCGTTTTTTAATATTCCTACCACTTTGGTTTCACCATATAAGGGGTGTTTTGCAGTTTTTATAAGTAGTCTTGGATTGACTTATTATATATAAATTCCAGAGGTGCAATGCAGTTGTGAATGACATGCTGTATGAGTATGTGTATTGGTTTTTATATGTATTTTAGAAATAACCACCTCAATGAAACTCCTGTAAACGTTGACAGCAAAAGCAATGAAATGCATCGAGTTCTAGCTCACTCCAACTCTATTGTGTGATATTATTGTGGATGTAGCTCACTAATGTAATAAAGCTAAGCTGTGATATATGCTGGGATATCAGTGAGGAGGTAGCATGTCTTTATGTTTATTTTTCTTTGTATCCAATGTGATTTTTTTTTTTTTTTACAATAAATGGAATTGTTTCTATATATAAATATATGGTATGTGTGGACTGCTATAGAAAAAAATCCTTATAAATGAAAATATATGGGATGATGGTACATTGAAATAGGGTACTGATTCGAATTTAGTCAAGCTGCATAGTTTGTTTTTGTCTACAAGGGTCACTTACCTGCATAGGCAGTTGTTTGATGAAGGTGAACTAACCTTTTAAAGCTTCTGTAGCAAATTTCAATTCAGTCTGCCAAAACTGGAACTATACAGGCTTATGGATCTAAATCTGTTGATGTAAAAAAAACCTATAGCTCTTTTGTAGGGTTTAATTAGGTTCTCCCATGTGGTTGGGAATATGGATCTGGATCTGTGTTACTTATTGTCTCAGTGAAAGTCTGCTTAGGGAGATTTGTGCCCTGAAAGTCTCTACCAATATAACAAAAACAGATGCTTATATTAGATTTGATGTATTTAGATTTTCAACCTATAAATTCCTTCAACAATGATAAGGATTTTCTTCCATGCTCGATGGCTGCGTGGCTGACCTCTGATCACAGCTTCCCGTAGTAATTTTTCTAGGTTCTTCATATCTAAAAACAAAATACAATAAGCTATTTACATTTAAATAAAAATAATATAGTTAAAAAATACAGAATTTACTGTAGTCGATATCCAGCAACATACTTTTTAAATTTTTATACGTTAAAATATTCCCTTGAATGGGTCAAAAAAAGGAATGGCTCATTCAAAAAACTGAAACTATGACCACTTTAATGGCAAATTATACCAATAAAATACATTACATACATCCAGAAAACCTTACCCTGCTACTCTGGCAGCCTCTGGGTTACCTCTTAAAGGAGAAATGGACTGATAAGTATCTATACCTCTTTACCTTACCATGGCCTATGGGCACTTATAGCCTTCACCATGGGTGCTTAACCTGTGTCCCTCCAAGTGTTGGGAAACTACAAGTCCCATGAGAAACTGCAAGGCTGACAGTTACAAGCATGACTCCCAAAGGCAGAGGTATGATGCGCCATGTAGTTCTGCAACACCTGGAGGGCCACAGGTTGAGCATCCATGGCCTTCACTATCAAATGATCAGCAGTTGATCTTTTTATGTGTAGATCTGCCTGATTTCCTTTCTATTGTGTGTGTGGGGGGACTTTTCCTCTTCTACATTGATGTGCAAGATCACTTACATAAGGATTGGTACAGATGCAGAGCCAGTCTTCCCTGGTGGCGTAGTTCTGTCCAGTACACTGCACTAGTCTAGATGGTTATGTGAAGCCCCCTTGGCTTACATGATTCAATGGTTGGGTTCAGGCTTATATTATACCAAGGTGATCTTTTTCTATTTTGACCATTTGGAACTACATACATCAGATTTTATATTATTATTATAATACAGGATTTATACAGTGAAGGAAATAAGTATTTTATCCCCTGCTGATTTTGAATGTTTGCCCACTCACAAAGAAATGATCAGTCTAAAAATTAAACGGTAGGTGTATTGAGAGACAGAAGAGCAACAAAAAATTCAAAAGAAATGCATGTCTAACAAATTATGCACTGATTTGCATGTTCATGAGGGAAATACGTATTTGATCCCCTATCATTCAGCAGGATTTCTGGCTACCAGGTGTCTTTCATACAGGTAACAAGCTGAGATTAGAAGCAGTCTCTTAAAGGGAGTGCTGCTAATCTCATTTTGTTACCTGTATAAACACCTGTCCAGAGGAGCAATCAAACAATCAGATTCCAAACTCCACCATGGCAAAGATCAAAGAGCTGTCCAAAGATGTCAGGGACAAGATTGTAGACCTACACAAGGCTGGACTGGGCTACCAAACTATTGCTAAGCAGCTTGGTGAGAAGGTGACAACAGTTGGTGCAATCATTCGCAAATGGAAGAAACACAAACAACTGTCTGTCTCCCTAGGTCTGGCGCACCATGTAAGATCTCACCTCGTGGAGTGTCAATGATCATGAGAACAGTGAGGAATCATCCTAGAACTACACATGAGGATCTTGTCAATGATCTCCAGGCAGCTGGGACTACAGTCACCACGAAAACAATTGGTAACACACTACGCCGACAAGGATTGAAATCCTGCAGTGCCCGCAAGGTCCCTCTGCTCAAGAAAGCACATTTCCAGGCCTGTCTGAAGTTTGCCACTGAACATTTGAATGATGCAGAGGACTGGTTGAAAGTGTTGTGGTCAGTGTGAGACCAAAATGGAGCTCTTTGGGATCAACTCAACTTGCCGTGTTTAGAGAAGGAATGCTGCCTATGACCCCGAGAATATAATCCCAACTGTCAAACATGGTGGTGGAAAACATTCTGCTTTGGGGGTGTTTTTCTGCTAAGGGGACAGGACAACTGCACCGCAAGAAAAAGGGATGATGGACGGGGCAATATACCATCAAATCTTGAGTGAGAACCTTCTTCCCTCAGCCAGGGCATTGAAAATGAGTCGTGGATGGGTGTTCCAGCATGACAATGACCCAAAACACATGGCCAAGGCAACAAAGAAGTGGCTCAAGAAAAAGCACATTAAGGTCCTGGAGTGGCCTAGCCAGTCTCCAGACCTTAATCCGATTGAAAATCTGTGGAGGGAGCTGAAAGTTCAAGTTGCCAAACATCAGCCACCAAACCTTAATGATTTGGAGTGGATCTGCCAAGAGGAGTGGGCCAAAATCCCTCCTGAGATGTGTGCAAACCTGGTGGCCAACTATAGGAAACGTCTGACCACTGTGATTGCCAACAAGGGTTTTGCCACCAAGTACTAAGTCATGTTTTGTGAAGGGGATCAAATACTTATTTCCCTCATGAACATGCAAATCAGTGCATAATTTGTTAGACATGCATTTCTTTTGAATTTTTTGCTGCTATTCTGCCTCTCAGTGTTACAATACACCTACAGTTCAATTTTTAGACTGATAATTTTCTTTGTGAGTGGGAAAACATTCAAAATCAGCAGGGGATCAAATACTTATTTCCTTCCACTGTATAGTGCCAACAGTTTACGCAAATAATATGCTGCTGGATGATTCCTGAACAGCCTCTTTTATATACATGAGCCATGGTTTTTGGTTGATCTATTGGCTTTTTCAGCCCACATAATTTATATATGAGTGTGTTCAAGTCCTATTGGACATATTTTACATCAATTACTGTGGATTGTGTGGACTGTCGACCATTCTCCAAGATGATGTGAACTTGTGAACACAATATGATGATTATTCATGTGGCCCACATATTTACCAGATGTAGCGAGGCTACTTTGTAACATTATTCGTGGATAAGATTTTTACATATCTCATTTTGCATATCTCTTCTTTTTGTTTTTCCATTTTCTTTTTTGTTCTCTTTTAATGTGAATTAACAAAATTATTTTATTTTATATTAAGGCTCAGGTATCTTGGTGTGCTTGGCTTTATACCTCCTTTTGTATCCAGTACGGTTTTGCTAGCCATAGCCAGTTTTTTAGTCTTTTTTTTTAATAATTTTGCAATACACCCTGAAAACTTTAAACAGCTCACTTGGCAGAAAAAGCACACCTATTCCCCCAATATAAAATTAGTTTAGAAATCATAGATATCTGAGAATTGAGGCTCAGTACCACAACCAAAACCATTGCTGCATATCAAAAGAAAGCCTGAACTGGTGTCTTATCTAAATCTTGATTGGGCAGTCTGCAATGAGAAGCAGTGAACCTTTTGTCTAAAAAAGGCAGGCGGAGGGCAAAGATCTATTGTCTGTGGTCTCCCTGCTCCTGGTCTTTCTCCATTACTAGTTTACTCTGCCTTGTTCTGTACTGTGTCTTTGTGTGAAGGTGACTACCTTGGTAGAGGTAGGACTTTGCTTTCTCATGGCAGTGCCTCCAGGAAAGAGAACATAAAGCAGTACAGTAGTGACTTTACATTCATTACATTTATTCATTATTATTCATTTACATTTCATTGCACATTTCCTGTAACAGCAGTAAAAAAAACTCAAAACTGAAACTAACTTTGATGTCACATTGCAGATATATAGCTATGATGCTGTAGGCATAGGAGTTCCTAGACACCCTCACATACCATGAACTGCGCTGCTATTTTTCTGGAGAAATTCAAGACAAAGCGTACATTTTTAGTACTTAGTCACAATTAACAGTGCTATGTAACATAGCGAAACATTACTTTTTTTGAGTTTAGGTTCACTTTAAGTTTAGATATCAGACTGTCAAAGTGTTAGCAACCTTTCAATTTCAGAGTATATTTCTTCTGTAGCATTGGGGATGTTCGGGCAAGCCAATAATTTTGTAGCTGATAGTACATCTTTCCTCTCAATCTGTATTTTATTGTTTCTCTTGCATTCTATAATTAAGTGCTTGGTAACAGTATACTTACTGTTGTGCTGGAAAACTCGAATAGTTGCTCCGGAAAGCCTGGCTCCTAGAATCAAAGATGTGTGGTTTAAAACTCATCACTTAGAATAAGACATCCCTGCAAAAAAAGATGTTATAATTAGTTTGGCTTTGCAAAAGTCAGCTGGCAAAACATTTTTTTGTGCAAAACAATATATCAATTTAAAGTTTATAGAATGGAAGACAGCCCAACATGGACGCTTGACAATCTGTAAGCAAGGGATCATTTGTGAATGTGTATATATAAAAAACAGTGAAAATCATATATGCGTTTTCTTTCATATAAGTTTTAATAAACACGAGTACAATTTTAATAAACACGAGTAAATTATGAGCGATATTAGTGCTCCAGGACTGGCTTACCCTAATGTTAGTCACAAATGTATTGCATAATTTTTATCACTTTATGAATACATTATAATAATCATAGCAACAAAATCAAGATACACAAAGATGGACTGGTAGCAGTGCTATTTTAATTAACAGGAAAAAACCCTCTGGCCTTTCTTTCAGCTTTTGGTGTAGCTAGTGGACATAAGTGGCTGTAGTTAACATCGGTAATCCTTCATGACCACCCATATTAATACAGGTGTGAATCAAAGGAAGAGAATCTTAAATTTATATTCTTTCCCTATAAATTCAGTGGACGAGAGGTGCAATTTGTACAATGTAAGCAAATTGGGATAATGTGTTTTTTAAAATCGCTTTTCTTTCATTTTTAAGTTGCTTTTTACACTCAATGGATGCTCTGTCCATTTATCATATTAGGTTGTCAAAACTGGTAGTAATCGTTGAAAGTAATCTAACCTTCATCAGTACCATAAAGATTCAAATGAAAATGTTAAACAATAGTTTGGTAATTAATTCATTCTTTATCTCATTAAACTGATCAGGACTAGTCAACTTTTGTATGTTTACTTTAAAGTGTAGTAAGTACCTTGCCCACCACTGCTGGAATATTTGTTGAATTTGTGGCAAAGCCCATGCTGAACACCATTGCTGCTTCTACATTGAGGAACTCCGCCACCAAATCCTCCAGCTCTTGATGTTTGACCAAATGCCCTGAAAGGGAAGATAGAAATTAGCACAATATATTTTCCCTTTTAAGAATGCTGGGTTGAATTGTGAAACTGTCTGTAAACAGGTTTGTACAATGAGAAACTAATGTTTTTTTCAGTTAAAGTAAGTTATCTGAAAAACATTTCAGTTAAAGGACATATGAAGCCCCACTTGACTTGAAAGATCCCTAAATGGCTTTTTTTACATTCCCAGTCCCTTATTAAATAAAGCAATGAGTTGAATGTCAAATACTATAGTAACTAATAGGAATATTCAGCCTTAACTTAACCAGGTAACTCAAATAAGATTGCCTTTGGGTAACTGAATACATCTTGGACAAGATTGTGATTGGATAGTAAAGGATTAGTAGCTCAATGATGAAATCATCTTTGCAGTCTCGCTTCCAATCAGCATTCAGAATCACAGTACTGGGTAGTGCAGAAAAGCCTATTTGGCTAACAGATACAAACATTTTACTGATTTTTTTTTTTGCCAGTTGGAATGTAAGAGACTGATAAAGTTGATTTGATGGAAGTTCAAGAATTTAAAACCATAGACTTTTCTTTTTCCTGCTATTTAATTCAAGCTATTGCATACTGTAAAATAAATATGCATTCATCACAAGGCTAACTGAATTCTCACTAATGGCATGCCAAAATGTTTTTATCTGTGGTTGGAAAATGTAATAGTTTTCTGTGGGAATCTAATTGCACATGTTAAACTTTATCAATTACTGTATTTTGACTTTAGCTACTACCTGAATTTTGTAGCGGAAATATTGAATTAAAATTTAAAAATATTTACAATGAAAAACACTTTATTAAAATGATTAGTATATTAAAATAGTTAAGTAATGAAAAAAAACCCTGAAAAATAATGACATTAGAACTTAGGACTAAAACTATTAATCAATTGCATGTTCAATATACTTGTTTGTTAAAAGTATTCTTATGTAATTCTTATTTTATTGTATTTTTTAATATTATTTATGAATATGCATTTTTCACAGTGTATTCTTTATAAATAGACCCCTGTGATTGTGGGATATCACTGAAAGTTAACGTAGGAAAACCACTTGTTGCTGTTTATTTTAGAAACCAAAAAGTTTTTGGCTGTGCTAGACAACATAAGCTAGACAACATACAGTAATATTTCGGTTCACGAACTTAATTCGTTCCACGACTTTGGTCGCGTACCAAATTGATCATGAACCGAGGCAAATTTTCCCACTGGGATCAATGTAAATCAGGTTAATCTGTTCTGACCCCTACAAACGTGGTGTTGCGAACCAAATTTGGACGCCAGCCAAATCAAATTTTCCCATAAGGTTCAATGTAAATAAGGTTAAATCCGTTCTGAACTTTTTTTTTTTGTTTTTGAACCACAAAAATATTAAACAAAGTACAGTACAGTATGAAGAGGGAGAACACTAACCTTGCTTGAGACGACTTCTGGAGTGGAGGACAGGTAGGAGGGTGGGAGGCGGTTATTGTTCGGAGGGAGAGTCCCCCTCCATAAGGACATTGGGGAAATCTCATTCAGGGGTTTCCTTTCTTTGTCTCTTAGCTGCAGGCTCAGTTTTGGTGAAAAATCTGTCAAATGTCACTTGTCTTTTCCTGCGCTGCATAATCCTCCGGAAATGCGACCACGTTATGGTTTATCAGATTCAACACTCGTTCGTTACAGTTATGTTGGGGTGCTGCTTCTGGTCACCTTCATTACCACTCTGCTCTTTCTTTTTACAACATGCTTGCTCTGCACATTCTGGTCACCTTCATTACGACTCCGCACTTTCTTCTCACCACCATGCTTGCACTGAATTTTCTTTGGAGCCATACTGGATGTCCGGTACAGTATGTGCTAAAAAGCACACAAAAAAAAGCTTTACAGCAAGTGTGCACAGGGAGGTACAGTACTGTACAGTATGTGCTAAAAAACACACCAAAAAGCTTCTCAGTACTGTTCACAGTGACCGCAATCTCGCAGGAAGTCAGGACCATGTGTCAGAGCAGGAAAGATGGCCGCGGCTCGTGTTTGTCAACCGAAGCAGAGTACGCGAACCAAAGCAAATTTTTGCAAACTCTTCTGTTCGCAAACCGAGTTGCTTGTGAACAGAAGCATTTGTGAACCGAGGTATCACTGTATTATGCAGTAAGGAAACAATGGGGGAGCTTGTAAAATATAAGCAATATATGTGACTGTATGACCATGTATTCTTTTTTTTTTAATTATAATGTGTTATACTTCTGAAATTTCCATTTTGTATATATATTGTGGAAAAATTAAGATGAAAAATTGGTGGATAAGATTTTTTTAAGATCAATGACTTTACAGCACCTTTTAATGAGAACACTTCCATGACTTATGATATGGTCTATTCCACCCCCTGATGGTGCCAAATAAATATAATTCAGGCCTTTTAATAATGAGATGAGTTTCCTTTTTTTATTATTATAGTGTTTATTCCAGCTTTGTACGTTTATTGTCATAATAAATTTTCATATTCAGTTTAATATAAGCAGACCTACACCACAGTAAAACATTGTGACCATCGTTCTTACCCATTTCTTGTCTGGTACTACATACTCCAAGTCCATATGCCTGCAGGACCTCCTCTATTGTCCCCAATGACTCCCTCTCATTTTCTGCAAAGCCAAGATAGTTATAGGATCCCATGTTGATCACATCCTTAATAACTTTTCCAGTGTACCTGAAATGCAAACAATATTTTATCTGTTCAGTATTTTGTGGATGTTCATTTAACCATAAATAAAAAGTGTGCAGAGATGTTTCTATCGTATAGCAGAACATGTCACTAGTTTTTTGCTCATAATTATTAAAAGAGCAACTCCACTTATGTGGAGAAAAAAGAAAATAAAAAAAATATAGTATATACAATTGCAACATATACGTCATATTGTAATTGAATGTTATTAAAAAATTACATTTCCTTTTCAATTTGCTGCACTGTAATTTTCTGTAAAATGCAGTGCAGAATGCCCCTCAGAAATGTAATTTCCTGCTTGTGTGATTGGCTCATTGATCTTCCCAGAAATCTACACTAAGATATAGTCAAATTTTGGGCATCCCCTACAACAAAAATTTCATTTTTGGTGAGATACTTCCAAAGGTAAAGCACTTCTACAGGGATGCAGACCCTGCCACTTTCCTTATTAGAGCTCTGCAAGTGCAGTAGTTGATAATTATAAAATCACTTCCAATCACATTCATTTTGCACAGACAAACAAACAACTAATTCAGAATAACAAAAGGTTGGTTGCAAGAAAGTTTGTAAAAAAAACCCTGCAATGTACATAGGTCACCCAGAAGGGATTGTTTTTATTTTCAACAAAAGTGGAGTTACTCTTTAAGGTCATGGAAGTGGCCATACATATTCCACATGAACCACATGACTGATATTTATGTCTTTTAGGCTGCGGTATTCCTCCATTTCCCTTATATATACATCACCTTAAGAAGTCTCTCTGGTTTCTGTCTTGGTCCTATGGATATATTCTGCTTTCATCCCACTCCTAAATTGAGATACTCTCCTTTCTAGACTGTAACACACATTTTTTTTATACACCTTAGCCAATTAGAAAGGACCTTGGGCTAGCAAGGATTTCTCATGGGATAGTGAACCAGCAGGTAGACAGTGTTTAGCAAAATGCATAGGTGAGGCTTATGCCCCAAGTGAAGTTGAGCCTTCATTGTGAGGTGAAAGAAATCTTATCCTGGGCACTTTTCTTAGCAAGGAATTTAGAAGAAAAATAGTAGTAGGCACTTTGTGGTGCTTGCACTTGCGCAAACTCTTTTTGTTTCTGGTAGAGTAGAGGACAATGTAATTTTAATACTAAAAATCTCTGCAATTATTGTAAAATAAAAGTAAAATAAAATATGTAATTTGGTTGCAATCATGTTTACTATGTGACCATGCAATAGTGTGCAAATCTCCAAAGAGCAGAACCACGATTCAAATGCACAGACTTTATTAACACATATCACACTAAAATAAGGTCTCCTCCAGGGGCGGACTGACAACTCATGGGGCCCCCAGGCAATTGGGGATCATGGGGCCCCTGTGTCCTTGCCCACACTCAAAACACACCCAAAAAAAGCCTATAAAAGGTACCAGGGGCATTTTATCGGGCCCCCTAATGACCCTGGGCCCTCGTGCAGTGCCCGAGCGCTCGAATGGTCAGTCCGCCCCTGGTCTCCTCTCATTTTTGCCAAACTTGGCCTTAGTTGTAGCTATGTCAGCTATGACTTAGGCCAGGTTTGGCTGAGATTCATCAGCAGGGACACCTTTCTTTTTTTATATGTGTTAATTAAGACTGTACATTTGGATTGTAATTTGGCTCTTTGGAGATTTGCTTAGGTGAGCTGATTATGTGCTCTCTCATGTCTCATGTGACATCCAATCTCAATACTGAGGTGACAATCTATTACCCCAATAGCATGTGAATAATACGGTAGACAAGAAATATAGCAGCAGAAGAATGATGACCTGTACGTCCAGTTGTAGTCATCTGACACTCGCTCCAATAGATCAAATTCAGCTCCTGGAACACGCTGCAGACAGGTCGGTGAAAGGCATCCCGAAGTCGTCTGTAAATATTTCTTATGTAAAAATTTTCAAAATCTTGGTAGAGAGGCACAAAATCCTTTATTATGAGATAAAATAATAAATAATGGATTACTGTTTTACATATCATTTTACAGCTTTTTTTTGCACAAATTAGTAGAGAGACACTAGCCGACCATGTATAAATTCTTTTTGTCTTAAAGTCAGGACTTTGCCTTATAGGAAGAAGTTTGCCACATGTAACAGGATTTTCAGTGGTTGATGGGTGCTACAAATAGACATGAATTTTCTCTGCTGTTTTTCCATCCAGCAGATATACTGTATGCACAGAAACTACATTTTTTTTGCAAACCAGAAAACGATTTTTCTCTGAAAGTGCCACTTAATATGCAAAAATGTGATACAAGAGAGAAATGCAAGGATGCAGAATGCCCAAAAGGTAAATCTAAAGCCATTAAAAAAAATTTGGATATAGTGCCACTCTGGTTAAAACTTCTGCCAGTTTTCTTCATCTGTGTGTCCACTACAGAGATTTTCTGTTGGGTGTACAGATCAGGAAATAAAATAAATTAGGGTGATTTCTTTTATTTCCTGATCTGTACACCCAACAGAAAATCTCTGTAGTGGACACACAGATGACAATAAAGACCTGGCCAATCTGTCCAAAACTAAAATAACAAATGTTGGCATTAGATTGATTTTAATTAAGAGGTAATTGTTTTATGTAAAAATTATATTTCAGTTCTTTGTAGATGTTGCAGGGTTAAACTACCTGACATGCACCTTTTATCTCTTGGGGACTTCGTGGTAAGATATCTGTTTTGAAATCACTTGGTTTACACATCTGTGGCCAGTATGTGGGGTTACATTTTCCATATTGGATTTTTTATTTATTTGTATTAAAAAATATAACAAGAGGATCTGGAATATGTGTAAGTGGGCATTAAAACCTAAAAGCCCTATGTTGGTAGGATTTGCAGTTGAGAATTGTGGCAGGGGGGCATCCATACATTATAAAGAGGAGCTCCAGTCGTTTTTGTGTTTTTTAAAAGTTTTTGTATCTGCTGATTTTTAATAAACACACACTCACCTGACCCGGGATCCAGCAATGTGCTCACCTAAGCCATATCTTCTTTTCTCCCTCTTCTCTCCCTGGTGCCAGCATCTCAACTGTGGGCACCCAGCTGTGACAGCTTGTGGCTTCAAGACTGCTGACCACCTCCTGAATGATCCAGCAGTCTTCTGGGACCTGTGAAGTGTCCCAGAAGACTGCGGGGGGAAGGAGGGGGGCTGAACGTCTGGTTTATATTGCTGCAGCAAACTAGGTACCTGCCCCCCCCAAAAAAATTGCATGCCAAATGGGGCAGGAGAGGAGTACTTAAAGTGGAACTTCCCCTTTTGAATGAAGCTCTGCTTTAAGGAGCCAGTAGCTAATGCAACACACAAGGCTCCACTGACTGTCACAAGTTAGCCTGCAGCCTCTTGTTTGTTTATTCTTACCTCCTTGCTGTTCTTGTTTCCTTCACATGTGTGTTTGTGCTCACCTGTGGGCGTCGTCTGCTATTCCCTGGGTTTTATGTCCTTCCCTTTCATCACTTCCTGGGCCGCCTCCTAGCTGGCTTGTCTATTTAAGACATGCTCAGTCTGTCTCACTTTACCTGAGAATCTTGTTGTTGTCGGAGCTCCCTTGTGTTCTACTGAAAATCCTTATAGTCTATCTGTGTACCGACCCCCGCTTCATTCCAGACATTGCTAGTTTTCCGTCTGTCCTGACCTCGGCTTGCCAACTGGATCTCCTGTGTCTACTCCCGTTGTAACCTGCTCCCTCTAGTGGTCTCCTCTACCTCAGCTGGGTGTACCTGGGAGCCGCGACCTGGTTCCAGCCTGCTCCAAGTGCATCTCCACCATCAGGGGCCCTGGTAAACAAGCAGGCTGGGGCTTAGACTCCGCACCCTGGCGAAGCCCAAGTTGTGGATCAAAGAGCTCCCCACCACAGGTGCTGACAGTTTTCTCAGGCCATGAGCTCCTTGGAGACTCCGCGGCCTCTCCTGGAACAACCTCAGGGTTTGGTGCAGAGAGTCGATGTCCAGCAGGCCTTTCAAGAACAGATTATGCACTATCTGCAGGAACTCTCCTCGCGGTTGGATCAGCTACAGGCTGGGGCCAATTCCTCACCCTCTGCTTCGGCTTCGGTTCCGGCCCCTGCTCCGGGTCCTGCTGTTCTACCTTCCGCTGTTCTCCCAGTGGAACACCATCCTTTGAAACTCCAGCTGCCTCCTCCGCTTCACTTCTCTGGTGATCCCAAGGCTTGTCGAGGTTTCATCAATCAGTGCTCGATTCATTTTGAACTAGCAGCCGATCATTTTCCTACTGATCGTTCCAAAGTGGCATACATGATTTCCCTGCTTTCAGGTGAAGCACTGGCTTGGGCCTCGCCACTGTGGGAGCGCCAATACCCCACTATCTCCAGTCTCCCAGCCTTCCTGCAAGCCTTCCGGAAAACCTTCGATGTGGCCGGCAGGACTTCATCTGCTGCGGGAGATCTTCTTCGGCTACGCCAAGGTAGCATGATGGTTGGTCAGTATGCAGTTCAGTTTTGCACTTTGGCTTCGGAACTGGCATGGAACAATGAGGCCCTTTCTGAAACCTTTTGGCAAGGTCTAGTGGACCGTATTAAAGATGAATTAGCCGGAAGAAACATACCCACCGTCCTGGATGACTTGATTGCGCTTAGCATCCAAATCGATGTCCGCTTCCACGAACGAGATCTGGAAAAGTCTGGTCCATGTCAATCCCAAGTGGGCTCATTTGCTCCTGTGTTCCAAAAGTTCCCTGAACCACCTACCTCCAAAGCTGGGCCGACTTCCGAGGAACCTATGCAGTTAGGCCGAACACGCCTCACTCCACAAGAGCGATCGCGTCGCATAAGACTTGGTCTATGCCTTTACTGTGGGGCTAAGGGTCATGTAATTAAGTCTTGTCCAGTCCGTCCGGGAAACTCTCGGGTCTAGGTCTCTTTGAGGGAGGTGATCTAGACCAGAACCTGAACTCCGCCTCCTTCCCTCGATTTCTTATACCTGTTTCCATCCATTGGGCTCTGAACTCCTATCAGGTTTCGGCTTATGTGGACTCTGGGGCAGCCAGAAATTTCATGGAACAATCCTTGGCCGCTGAATTGGGCATTCCTCTTGTTCCTTTGATGACACCCCTATCTGTATTTGCAGTTGACGGCTCTATCTTGGCCTAAGGCCCAAACTGACAGCATAACTATGCATGTGGGCATTCTTCATCATGAGGAAATCTCCTTCCTGGTCCTTCCAAAGTCTTCAAGTCCCATCATTCTGGGACATCCATGGTTGCAGAGACATTCATGCTATCTTGACTGGAACTCTGGCCAAGTATTGTCGTGGGGGTCACAATGCCATCAGACTTGTCTCCCTAAAGTGTGTCCTCCTAGGAGTGTACCCGTGGCTGAGGTCATCACCTCTCCGATATTCCCTCTGCACTATCGGCCTTCCAAGATGTCTTTTGCAAGAAAGCTGCTGACTCTTTGCCACCTCACCGTCCCTATGATTGTGCTATTGACCTCCAACCTGGGCCTTCTCCACCACGAGGTAAAGTTTACCCTCTCTCCATTCCTGAGACTCAAGCCATGTCTGAATATATCCAGGAGAATCTGCAGAAAGGATTTAACCATAAGCCCAATTCTCCTGCTGGGGCTGGCTTCTTCTTTGTGGAGAAAAAAGATGGTACGCTACGTACTTCGGATCAGTATTAAGTCAAGCAAATCTTGGATTCTAAGTTCATCAGAGGGAAGCTCTTGTATCTTATTGACTGGAAGGGATATGGTCCTGAGGAGAGGTGTTGTATTTCTTCTGCTGATGTTTCTGCTCCTTGTCTGGATTCAATTTTTTAATCGGAAGTTTCCCCTTAAGCCTGGCCCTAAAAAAGTGGGGGGACCTCGTAAGGGGGGGGGGGGGGGTACTGTCACAAGTTAGCCTGCAGCCTCTTGTTTGTTTAGTCTTATCACCTTGCTGTTCTTGTTTCCTTCACATGTGTGCTTGTCTGTGCTCACCTGTGGGCGTCGTCTGCTATTCCCTGGGTTTTATGTCCTTCCCTTTCATCACTTCCTGGGCCGCCTCCTAGCTGGCTTGTCTATTTAAGACATGCTCAGTCTGTCTCACTTTGCCTGAGCACCGTGTTGTTGTCGGAGCTCCCTTGTGTTCTACTGAGAATCCTTATAGTCTATCTGTGTACCGACCCTGACTTCGTTCCTGACATTGCTAGTTTTCCGCCTGTCTTGACCTTGGCTTGCCAACTGGATCTCCTGTGTCTACTCCCATTTTACCCTGCTCCCCTCTAGTGGTCTCCTCTACCTCAGCTAGGTGTACCTGGGGAGCGCAACCTGGTTCCAGCCTGCTCCAAGTCCATCCCCCACCATCAGGGGCCCTGGTAAACAAGCAGGCTGGGGCTTAGACTCCGCGCCCCCCAGTGGGGAACCTAAAGTTGTGGAGCAAAGAGCTCACCACCACAGGTGCTGACAGTGACACTATGTATCACTTTTGGATGGCCTGACCCTTTAACTAAGTAAAATAATTAGTAACTTGGCAACTGTGAAGAGTGTACTATCATTGTTTGTAGATTAATCACATGAATACTTCCTGATTGCACTGTAAGAAGTCCTTTGTTTGGTACAGTTTGTAGGTTTGGCTAGGTCACATTATGTGGTTGATCAACATTGTTTATGTGGAAATCCCCCAAACACACTTGCCTAAAATAGTAACATTTCTTGAAGGCTGCTTTTAATTTAAATTTTTTTAAACATATTTAATTGCTTTGTGAGCATTTAAGCACACATCAAAATCTCTTTTTTGTTAATTTGTATGTATGTACACATATACAGTATTTAAATATTTTTCTATATGTTTAATAGATGTTGGGAATTCTTGAAAAACAAGTGTAATACATTAAATAAGCCAATGTTTATGCAGCTCTTGAGGGCTAGAATTTAAAAATTTCCCTTGTCCCCTTCTGTATTTTCTTTTTTTTTTTAACAACTAGAATGTTCCTTTATTGAAA